ATATTTGTCTGAAACTCTCTAGCCTTTGACATATATGAAAGGATGAGAAGACTGGAGAAGTCAGGGTGGATCTCACTGACTGCCAACCAGCAGGCTTCCCACTGTGAAGCATTCCCTTCAATCAAAAAGTACTCTAGTAAACAACATTATTTCCCACTCAGAGTTTGAAATCCACTTTGTAAATGTCATTTATATAAGATAGATGACCTATTAATAAGTTGGCAGTGTTTCCATGCAATATAGAAACATGGTCAGAGATAAATTTTGAAGACACAAGGGAGCGTGGAAATTGCTCAGCTCTGAGAGAATGCAAAACTAAAGATCCATCTCATGCCTCTGTATGCTAGAAGCAAAAAGAAAAACACCATTTCTGAGGAATTCAAAGCATGTAATTCTCTACAGAATAAAGTGATCTCCACACACAGAATTGTGTGGGAAGGTGACTTCTCCGTGTTGGTGGGCATATTAGCCAGCTTCTCATTGCTGCAGTAAAACACCCAAGAGAGTTAATAATGTCAACAAGCAGAAAGCTCTGTATGTACCTTACAGGTTTTTTTTTTTTTTGGGGGGGGGGGGTTCTATTGATTTAGCTTCAGGTGAAAGTAGCATATAGGTTAAGGTCAGAGTGCTTTTTAAAGATCGAGTAGGTTAATACATCTCACACTATAAAGAGAGTAATAAATGGGATCAAAGCCAAGGCAACTACCAGTCCTATGAGAATTTCTCCTTAACCCCGACAACCTAAAAATCTCCCACTATGCCCTGCCTCTCAAGTTCCATAAGCTCCCAACAGGACTGCCCTGAGCCAAGACTAATCACAGTGGAGACTTGGAGTTAACTCAAATCACACCCATGCCAGTGCAGTGGGTAGGTAGACATTTCCTAACATCCCACCTGGATGCTTAAGTTTGGATGGAGGAGATTCTGATGTACAAGAAGGAGGTACCCTCCTCTTGAAACAGCCCTTAAACCATCATTTCTGTTTTACTCTGAGTCTTGGTACTCTGCACTAGGCCTGAGGAGAGAGGTTATGGTTACAGTCGTATGTAAGAGGTGAGGCTTGGAAAGCACATGGGTAGAGAGAATGTTAGAAGTCCTGTGAGTAAGTGCAGAGCAAATATATTTGAGAAATGTATATTGATCAAGCCTTTGACTGTGAAGGAAGCAGCTTGCTATTTAGTTGACAGATGATACTTACTGGGCTCAAGCACACTGCAGTAAAGAGGAGGAGCTGTGATTGAACCTAGAGCATAGAGAAGACTTACTGGACAGGCGTGGTGGTACACATCTTTAATCCCAGCAGTGGGGCATAAAGAGGCAGTTGTCTGTAAATTCAAGGCCAGCTGGGTCTACAGGGTATGTTCCAGGCCAGCCAAGGCTACATCATGAGACCCTATCTCAGAAAGAAAGAAAGAAAGAAAGAAAGAAAGAAAGAAAGAAAGAAAGAAAGAAAGAAAGAAAGAAAGAAAGAAAGA